GGCCCCTCATCATCTTTGTAGCCCTAATGCTCATGCCTCTGTCAGCCCCAGCTTTCAGCATATACCCTTATTCTGACCCACTGTTGCCTCTCACACCTTAGTTTCTTCTGCCAGCCTGTGATTGCCATGATCATCTGATCTTTGGCATCCCACATTTTTTGGTCAATAGCGCTGTAACACTATCACATCAAGAAGCACGTCTTATGTCAGCCAAATGTCAGTCACTGAAAATTTGCTGCTGAAGAAGGTAATGAAATTTAAAGTTTTCATATCTAGGAAGCACACTTCACTCTGTTGTTCATCTGAAACTGTTAAATGAAGTCTACAGCCACACTTATTCTAAAAACTAAATTCCAGCTTCTAAGATCAAGGCCTGTCAATAAAGCAAAAAGCTAGATTCTGCTCAAGTATTTTCAACTGAGGCTGATGACCTGTGAAAAAACAACTCATATGATTTTATTTATACCTGGTTGAAATATGTTATGTGTGCTTGTGTATAATGTAATAATTTAGGTATATTTATGATCTCTAAAATATATGAAAATACTGATTATTCTATTGTCAACCGAACATATTTAGATTTTCACATTTTATGTGAAACTACATGTACTACAGGTAACTCTAGGAAAGGTCAAGTTAATGGTAAGTAAATCCTGTATGATTTTTAGAAGCCACAAAAGAACTGAGATGTTACCTTCCACTAGTCTTCTAGCAGATGCCAGCATCAAAGCCATCCCAGTATCCGCTGTGCTGGTGGAAACAGCATGGGGAGCATTAGCCATCTTCACACCAAAGCTTGCTATAAGTTTCAGGTCCAGGTGATCCATCCCTACTCCTGAATTCGCAATCACTTTCAAGTTTGGCAGGCTCTGGAGGAGCTCTCGGTCAATGACTGGTTTGTGCCACCACAAATAGATCGCCTGGACCTTTTTACTCATATGCTCCTTGTTTTCAAGGAAATCCTTCATGGTGATGAGGTAGAAATGTTTCTTCAGGAACGCCAGGTGGCTGTGCAGTATCCCATGTCTGCCACCGATTTCATTCACCAAAAGCCCTGGTAGCTCTCCTCCTCCCATGGTCTGCACAAAGAAGAAAGACACAAAGCATCAGAAGGAAGACATATAATTGTTTCCAG